TCCTAGGACTCTGTGACATGAGCCTAGAAAAGCTCACACATAGGAAAGCACAGACTCTTAGGAAGCCATCAAGTGGTGTACTGGAGTGTTTAATGGCTAACACTTGACAAAGGGCCTGTCTATAAATATCTCTACACGTCTATATGTATAGTTTTTTTCTTTTAAAATGGGGGTTAAAACAAGATTGGGAATGGTATTTTACTTAGGGTCTTTAAAATACCCAAACTTGGGGCTGGGGTGGAATGGGGTGGGACGAGGGGGTTGTCAGTGAGTAAAGTACTTGCTGTGTGTGAGGATCTGAGTTCAAGTCCCTGGCACTGACATAAAAGCTAAGCACCGTGGAATATGCCTGTGGCCCCCCTGGGCAGTGAGCTCTAGGTTCAGCGAGAGATTCTATCTCAAAAAAATCAAAGGGGGAAAATCAGGTGGACAGTGACAAAGACCCCTGACACCATCTGGCCTCTGCACACACACACACACACACACACACACACACACACGTGCGCGCACGTGCTCTCAAGCACACACTCACACACCTCCACTACTCTCCACTCCAAAATATCCAAATCTTTTTTTTTTTTTTTCTTACAGGCTTCCTGGGAAGTAGCAAGAAACAGCCAAGGAGTGGGAATTCTCTTGGCAGTGATGACATAGCCAAGAAATGAATGGTGTGGAATTCTTTGTCACCCAGGAAGACTCTAGGAAGCCTGTTAATAGGCCTCTGTCGAATGAGTGATGTTCCATCCACACAGTGAATTCAGGGAGGCGATCAGAGAGAGGGAGAACTGAGTCACGCAATACTTTTGTAGAACAATTTCAAAGAAACATAGTTCACTGGAAAATCAAGGGACGAACTGCAGGTGTAGTTTTTTTTTTTAATTCAAGATACCATACTTATGTATATGTTTATGAAAATATGATCATAACTAGAGACTTCTGGAGAAACTCTGCGAGCAGCTGTTGTGCATGGCCACCTCTGGAAAGTACAACCAAGGCCCCGGGGTACATCGGAGGCATGCGCTTTTGTACTCTTTAAATATTTTATTGAGTACCCAAATTGCTTTCTTAGCTAAAAAAAAAAAAAAAAAATTCTGGCATAATAACATACACAAAAGCAACATTCCAATTCCTGGAGCAGGGTTCTCTCTGGTGGTAGGCTACGTGGGCAGCCCTTCTCTGCATCTCTTTCCTGATAGCCTGGACCTCGGGGAAGGTGAAGGAGGGACAGAAATAGAGTTGGAGCAGGCCGTGAGGCTGCACTTGTTCTCCAGGTGCCTGCTGTTGAGGCGGTTAGAGAAGAGGCTGTGTGGAAACCACCTTTTGCTGCAAGGGCCCTGTGGTGTGCCGGTGAACACTGCCACCCAATGTCTACAGCCTGATGCGTCAACAGCTTGTCCTCATTTGAGAGAGAGAAGAGAGATGTGGGCAGAGGTGGATGAGTGAGGGGAGGCAGGCATTAGGTCCTATTTCCAACATTTTGCTAGGTGTCTAGGTCTGGAGGCCTGGGTTGATTGTCTTTAGTCTGCTCCAGGGACACTTTCCTTGATACTGAATCCCACTATGACAGTCTTACCTCAGAGCCTGTCCAAGGCCCTGCTCCTGGGAAAGCACACTCCTAGCCTGGGCTCTTTTGTCCTTGCCTCCTGTTTGTCTAAAGGTCTTTGTCCTCAGCAGACCTCAGGCTCCCTCCCACTTCATTCCCTCCGGGAAGGTCCCTTCTTCCATGAAGTCGTTTTCTGCCTGGATTTCTCTTCAGGGTAACAGAGGCTGTAGCTGCCCCGAAGAAAGAGCCGCATATGAAACTGGTTGCTTGTAATTGCCTCTGAATAGGCCACACACCTTTCCTTGAACCAGTGGACAAATCAGTTCCTGTGTCCAGGTGGAGTGTGATGTGCTGATGGGGATCATCCCCGAAGTCAGGAATTAAATTAAGGAATTTGCTTAATTAAATGACTCTTGTCCACTGCAGACAGTAGACAAGAGTCAACTGTCCAACCCTCAAGAAAGTGGGTGAAGGAGAACAGGGGTACCATGCTCAAGAGCTGGAGCCTGTAAAGAGCATCTGAAACCCTGATCCATCTGTATCCCAACATTTTCCCTTTCCTTCCTCCCCTCCCTGTCCTGTCTGTGTTATTAATGATGGAACCAGAGCTGCTGTATGTGTGCTAGGCAGGTAGGTGCTCCATTCCTGGGCTGGACCCCCAGGCCTCTTTCTACTTTTTCTAAAATTTGAGTCAGGACCTCAATACATTGCCAAAGCTGGTCTTCAGCTTGTGTTCCTTTTGTGCCAGCACCATCCTCTGCCAGTTTCTGGATTACAGGTTCACGCCACAGATGCACACTAGCAGGCCTGGCAGTTTCCAATTGTGTGAAATCCTCTTTGCTTAAACCAGCTTGATTCAAAGTTTGTGTCGTTATTCCTTTCAATAAGAGCTTTGGTTGAAAAACAGAGAGAGAGAAAGAGATGCCCGTGCACAGAAGGTCCCATTTTTGTAGCTGTGTGTGTGTGTGTGTGTGTGTGTATGTGTGTGTGTGTGTGAATAGAGTAAGAGAATGAATGTAATGATGTGCAGACGGTCCTGATGGTTTTGGTTTCTGACGGGGTGAGAACACAGCCATGCAGCCATCCTACTCAGCGAGTGTAATGGTCAATAAATCATATCAGATCTTCAACATTTCAATACAAAACAGGCTTTGTGTGAGGGTGATTTTGCTCAATCACAGGCTGGAGTCTGAGCATGTTAAGACAAGCTGGGCTAAGCCACGGTGGTTGATTAGATATATGCTTTTATTTATTTTTTGACTGACAATATTTTTAACTTAGGTTTAGTGGATACAAACCCATTATAAATCAGGAGGTAACTGTAAGACACAGTAACTGGACATGGGGCAGCAGGATTAAAAGTAATTGTTTGGTTATCCGTTGTATTCATTTGGATTTTGTGTTTATATGGTGTGAGCAGTTTCCTCCTTGTAGGTATATGCACCATACACATGCTGGGTGCCTGCAGAGGTTAGGAGAGGGCATCGGCTCCTCTGTAACTGGAGTCAGAGATGGTCGTGCGCTCCCATGTGTGTTCTGGGACTCAAACCCAGCTCCTCTGTAAGACCAGCCAGTGGCCTTCACCATGGAGCCGCCTCTCTAGCCCCAGTTTTTATTTTCAAAATTTAATTTTTTTTTTTTAAATGGCCAGCTCCAAACTCATAGAGATCTGCCTGCCTCTGCCTCCCGGGTGCTGGGATTAAAGATGTGCGCCACTACAGCTAGCTTAGAAATGTGTAGCCCTGGCAGGTCCAGGACTCATCCTCTTCTGTCTCTTCAGCATATCCTATCAGAATGTGCTGCTACAATGGACTTCTTTCTTTACGTTGAAAAATTTTTAATTTATTTGGCGACTAGGGCTACACATGAGTGTTTATTATGCACACGTGTATATACATGTTTACACATGTATATGTGTGTGTAGTGAGAATTTTCTTCTAAAAAAGTTATGTGTTGTGTTGTGGATTATTAATATTTATTATCGATTTATCTTTTAGTTAATCAGCGGTTATTCCTAAACCAGCTGTATATCCAAATCACCACACAAGAGACTAGGATTTATTTAATTAACCTGGAGCACAATTCTGGGCAATGATTACTCCATCCTAAACCTCCAAGCCCGCATAGTTTCCTACCATTCAGATTTCACCCATTATATTTGCTTTTAGTCATATTTTAGGTCCGGTTCATCTTTCCTCCTGGTTCCAAGACCCTCCTCATGGTTCCAAGTCCTGTCCTGCTGATCTCCACGATCCTCTCCTCCTCCCACTTGCTTCCTTCTCCTCCCCTCTGGGCCAGGATGTCCTCACCCTATTCTCTCCATTACTCAGTATTGGTGCTGGTTTTTTAATTGACAATACAGAAGACAAATGGTGGCATCTGTTGAAACTTGAGACCGGTGATGCTTAGAATAAACATCACGTGCAATGTCCAGATTGAAACCAGATGGTGGGGTGTAGAAATCAGCGTTTGAATAAAAAGGGTACATTCCACAAGAATATTATACCAACAGTCATGTGAATATGTTTTTGTCTTAATCCCAGCTGTGGAATATGGGGCTGCTTCAGGCTGTCCACAGCAACTGACTAACTTGCCTTGTGCTCTGGCAGAGGCGTGATTTGTGCTAGCTGTAGACAGTTTAATTCTGGGAACTCCTGAGGGGGTACAAATGGGAGAGCCCTGAGAGGGCTTGGGAAAGTTGTTGTCCCATTGCTGGTTTGTCTCTTCCTCCTGCCGCCGCTGCCGCCTCCGCTGCCGCCGCCGCGGCTGCCTTTGTTGTTGTGTTTGCTATTGCTGGAGTGCTGGTTTGGTGGTTTGCTGAACTGCTGGAGACTCTAATGACCAAGACTAGACTTGCCTCAAGGAACTCTCCATCCCTAATCATTAAGAAGTAGTGTACAGAGGTCTACGCCCTTTGCCCTCTAACCTTCTCTCTCTCCTACCCACTATTGGGGAGCTAGAAGGGATTAGGGTGGAATAAGGGACGGAAGGGAGGTAGAGATATAAGAACCCATAAAACAGATAAAACAAAAACACCAATGTGTGTGTGTGCTGGTCAGAGGTCGATAGTGGGTGTCTCTCTTAATCACCCTTCACTTTATACACTGAGGCAGGATCTCTCTCTCAAACTTAGAGCTCACCAATTTAGCTACTCCAGTTAACCAGCTCGTTTCAAGGATCTTGGTCTCCCTCTCTTCCATGCAACAGTACTGTGAGTGGGCCACTACACCCATCCAGCATTTATATGTGGTGGGGGGGATCTAAACTCCAGTCCTCATACTTGCATGGCAAATGCTTCACCCTCAAGCTGTCTCCCCAGCCCCTTGTTCTGTGTTTATCATTTGCAGTACATTAAGCACGGGTTGGTAAGTGCTGATCAATCTCTGCCAACTTGTTTTAGTTGTTCATCAGTTCAAGGGATCGAGGAAAACTCTCTCATCTGCTGTTGGTGTTGCAGGCAAGAACATGAGCCAGCTAGGGCGTGGCAACTGCTCCTTCGATGATGTGGATAAGCTGACAAGTACCTTGCAGCTGGCAGTCCACATTCCCACCTTCCTCCTTGGCCTGGTTCTCAACGCATTGGCCATCCGAGGCTTCAGGGCCTTCCTGAAGAAGAGGCAGCCAGACTACATGGCCACTTCCATCTACATGATCAACTTGGCCATCTTCGACTTACTGCTGGTGCTCTCGCTCCCGTTCAAGATGGTTCTACCGCAAGTGGAGTCCCCCCTCCCCGCCTTCTGCACCCTGGTGGAGTGCCTCTACTTCATCAGCATGTACGGGAGTGTCTTCACCATCTGCTTCATCAGCCTGGACAGGTTCCTGGCCATCCAGTACCCACTCCTGGTCAGCCACCTCCGGTCCCCCAGGAAAATCTTCGGGATCTGCTGCATCATCTGGATCCTGGTGTGGGTGGGAAGCATCCCCATCTACACGTTCCACAAGGAAGTGGAGAGATACAAGTGCTTCCACAACATGTCCGACGGCACCTGGAGCGCCAAGGTCTTCTTCCCCTTGGAGATCTTCGGCTTCCTCCTTCCCTTGGGCATCATGGGCTTCTGCTCCTATAGGAGCATTCAGATTCTGCTGAGCCTGGGTCGTCGGGACTATACCCAGGACAGGGTCCAACAGAGAGCCTGCATCTGGACCATCGCTACCAATTTTGTCATCTTCGTGGTTTCCTTTCTCCCAGTGCACCTAGGCTTCTTCCTGCAGTTCCTGGTGAGGAATGGCTTCATCTTGGAGTGCAGGGTCAAGCAGGGCATCAGCTTGTTCCTGCAACTATCTCTGTGTTTCTCCAACGTCAACTGCTGCCTTGACGTTTTTTGCTACTACTTCGTCATCAAAGAATTTCGTGTGGGCATCAAGGCCCAGCTGGTCCGCCAGGACACTATGATCACCAGGGGTTAGGGGAAGGTACCCCTCTCAAGAGAAGGAAATTCCAGTCCAAAACTCTCATAAGGAATGTCCTGTACTCCCCTTTTTGACACTCGATGAGTTCCATCTTTGTTCTCTACACCCCTAAGACCTTTCCACAGCACCTAGATGGCTGACATTGGGTTTGCTAAAGAACCAGGTGATGCATTCATTTCTAAGTCCAAACTGTATGAAGCAGAAGAACCAAAAAACAAAAGAAAGCAACAACAAAAAAGGTGACTGGCCTTCCATCTTGGACAGCCTGGGAAGCAGTTCATTAGACCAGTATGAAGGGGATTAGAGAAAATTGTTTTTAACTTGGTTCAGCCATAGCAGAATGAAGAAGTCCTCATTGGGTCCTGGTTGGGCATCTTACACTGGTGACAGTGTTTAGGGAGCTGATCAGGAATTGGGGGGGGGGGTGTATCTTCTCCAGGCAGCACAAAGGCCTGGATTTGAGGGAGGTGGTAAGATGTGCCCCAGTTCCTGGAGGGAAACTACAGACAGCTGAATCACAGGTGGATCCTTCATCAGCTCGTTTTGCTCTGGAGAAGGAGCCCACAGTGACAGCTGAAAGGCTGGACTGAGATGACTCAGCCATTCCAGAGAGTTGAAGTGATTAGAAGGATAAATTGCATGGTCGTTTTTTGCAAAATGGAAGGAGTGGGCTGGGAAGAAACCCATGAGACTTCACTCGAATTAGACATGGGGTTTTAGGAAGAAAAGCAGCCACAGCCCTAACTAACTAGATCCTACAGGATAAGAGGCTGGGGGAGGGGGAGGAGAAGATGGAGAGGCAGCTATAATCTGGGACGTGCCCACAGAGTAGAAGATGGAGATGAGCCAAGGTGTAGGAGAAAGGAGGAAGGAGAGGGAGGAATGGGAGGAGGGAAATAGAGAAGAGGACAGAGGAGGAAGAGGAAGGCAGATGGGCAGGAAGGGCTGAGGCATGAAGGGGAATAGGAAAGGTGAATAGGGAGGGCAGAGGCAGGTGGCTTCTTCCTAAGACTCCATCACTCCTCCATTGGAAGCCATTGAAGGGTTGGCACTTCCAGGCCATGGTGGCCGTGGATGTGTTGAGGTAGCACTTGGAGCCAACTGTGGGCCACTGAAGGCATATTCAGGGAAGAATGAGTTAAGGACCTTGGCAGTGGCTGTAGAGAAGTGAGAGTACCAAGGACCAGGGTCCCACCTCAGGGCTGGGCCTCCAGGAACCCACTGGTGGAGATTCAGAGCCATGCAGACTTAAAAATGAGGCTCCAGCCTTGGATGCTGTTTTGTCCCACAGCCGTCTTGGACAGAGATACCCCTTGTGACACCGAGACAGTCACAGAAGAACATTTGGGGCTGCTGTAGGCTAGTCCATGAGTGAGTGGGTCTTGGGACCACCTCCTCCATGTTCTCTCCGAGGGAGGAGCGGTTAGCCCGCCCAGTAGAGTCAGGTGGTCCCCTCCAAGTGCAAGCGTGTCTGCCAGGCAGGAGTCCCCAGAGCAAGGGCTTAGCAGGCTGAGTAGCCACCAACCCCATCAACGACCAAAGCTAAAACCTGCTGTGTGTTGCAAAATTCGGGGTCCCAAGAGGACCATTACCAAAGAGGGCAGAGGATCTAGAGCCATAAACTGAGGAAAGGTAGGGGGTGGAGGGGATGGGACAGCTGGGTCCCATTGGCAACCCCGGACCTGGAGATGGGGGTGGGGGGCGGATAGGGCTTGAGAACACACTGATTCATTCCAAAATAGTGACAGGAAGGAAATTCTTGTCTTTTCCCATGGAGACTTACCTGGTGTGTATCCAAATCCCCAGTCCCATGGGTCCTCAGCTGGCAGTTGGCTCAGTGGCACAGGAAATGGGGAGGGTCCTCGTTAGAGCTGGGGTATAGCAGATTGCAGCCAGCGAGTAGATGAAACCCAATTACGGAAAAGGCTCAGATTCCTGTTACCAAAGCTCGTGGGGCCAGAAGCTATTGTTTAGCTGTAAACGAGACCACCTTCATACCCAGCCTAGAAAAAAACAACCTGACACATCAGCCGCATGCACAGCCATGACATCTAGCAAGTTTAATTGGAAAACCAATTTGATTAACATGATTTACCAAATAAATTCCTACAATGCACTGTGACCTTGCCTCCGCCTCCAGTTTCTGGCTCCAGGGAAGAACAGATGTCTAACGGCCCCTCCTAAGGGATTCAGCCGCTGTGGTCACCAACAATAGTGGGGACCAAGTATGATGTTATAGAGCGCCTACCGAAGGTGCACAGCTGACCCTCCCGATTGGTGGGGAGCCACAGCCTAGTGTCAAGCCACTTGGGTGCTCAGCTGTCTGCAGTAGCCGCTGGGTCTCACAGACCTGGCCCCAGTCCCTTCCAGCCTGTTCCTCCATCTTGTCCCACCGTGACCCTGGTTCTGTATATATGAGGGGCCCAGCCCCAAGAGGCCTGTTGACCACATGTCCTTCTTTGGCTAGTTATGGTGTAAATCTACCTTTCCTCACAGGGGATTCCTCCTCATCTACCAGAGCCCCTGACAGGCATGGTCCAATAGGCTTACGCCTAAGTCACCCCTTTTTCCTAAGTACCCACAAGTTCCGAGTCAGGACCTGAATGTGGGAGGCTGATCAGGGACAGCTTCCTTCCTGAACAGTCATTTTTCTGTTAACCCTGGCTACCCCACAGCTGGGTCCTATCCCCTTGGCTCCCAGAGGAGTTGATTGGAAAATGCCTATTCGTCTGCTCTATCTGTCTTCTCTGTACTTTGTGAGTCCCCTCCCTGTGGACCCTTTCAAGTTGGAGTCATTACAGTATTACGGCGGAGATGCTCTTGGTTTCTGAGAACACCCACGTAGAAAATTCTACGCTCTAGAAAGTTACCGTGAATCACCAGTAATTTCAAAGATGCTAGAAATGACTGCAGGCCCCATAGCAGCTGCAGAGACTCACGAGGATTAGAAGGGACTGGCTTAACCTGTCAACGAGGAAAAGGCAGGATGAGCTTTCTAGTCAGGGATGAAAAAAGGTGTCAACAAAGCATGGGTAGACACTTCCCTACCCAAGAACCCATGTGCAGATGGTCTCTGCAAGCTCCTCATGGTCCTTAGAGGGCCAGCTGCACTGTGGACAACATTTCTGGGGGACAACGGAGCAGCTGGCTGAGACCACTGTGAGAATCCCATTCTGAGGACAGGGCATTAAAAGATTAGTGTTGATTTTGAGGTGAACACCTCTGAAACTCCTACCCTAGTACCTGTCCCTGTCTCAGCTGTGCCTCTCGTCAAGCCCAGGGCAGAGCTACCACAGGCACTGAAGGAACAAAGAACCCGGTAGAGGTGAGCACAGCTCACGCCAGTCCCCTCTTCCCTCTGTGAGCAGCACTGGGGGAGGGACCTTCACTGTGAGCGACAGCAGAAGTGAGGCCCTCTGTTCTTTGATGTCTGCTTAGGAAAGACAAGAAAGTGTCACTTCAAAGGAGCAGCCCCAAGCTTACCTCGAGGCCCCAGGCAGTGCCTTTGCTCTGAAGCAGTCACCTGAGAAACTACAACCAAAACTTGTCTGCACAGGGTGACAACACAGTCAAGGAGGGAGAGGTGGGAGGAGAGGGGAGAGAGATAGGAGTGTTACACGGCACAGCCATTTGCAAAGAAAGGCTCTTCAGGGTGGCCTGCCTGGGGGAGGGGCTCCCTAGAGAGGAGGATTTGTTTGGCTGGTTTCAAACACACTCCTATGCTTCTCCTTCAAGTTGCGTCTTGGAAAAAGTTGGTAGTGGGGATGGCTAGGGCCACTGTGCACGAATAAGCTGGCCCTGATTTAACGCAAGGATCCCAACAGCTGGTTCTCAGAGGCAGTGCCTCACACACAAGCTGAGCGTGGCTCACAGTTAGGACTGGGGCAAGTGACCCAGTGATGGGGGCAGGTCCAGGGAGAAGACAGGGTCCCTCCCCTACCTTCCCTAGCAGAGAGGGTCTAGAAGCTGGGGGTCCTGGGATGGCTAAGGAAGGCTCCAGATAAGCTCTGGGGCAGGGCATACTTTGGGGGTGGGGCAGCAGCTGTTAGATGGGGAAATGCCCCCCCCCCCCACAGCTGGGCTGATAGGCTTAGGCTCTGGAAATGACCCTGGAGGCCCCTGCCATATTCTTCTACACCTCCCCACTGACTTCTTTTTTTCCCTCGAGGGACAGCTGGGGCTTTGCTTTCACTGAAGGCAATCAGATACAATCAGTTGCTATAGAGTGAGGCAGGGTCAGGGGCCAAAACAGAGGCGCTTAGTAGACCTGCCTGCACCTGCTGTACCAGAGGGTCAGAAACATTTCAGAGCCAAGCAGGCAAATGTACTTGTGGTATTCACAGAGGGTGGCCTCGGCCAGCATCCCTTGAGTGTTAAAGACATTTAAGTCCAGAGGCTGAGATGTCTAAGCCATTTGGATAAGCACAGATGAAGTTTGTGGTTAACAGGGCTTAGCGCTGTGGGTATTTCCTCCCTGGGATGTCACTCTGCAGAACACTCAGCTATCAGAGGTACAGCTGGGGACTGGTGAGTGCGTGGATTACAGCTTAAGTGGAGGAAAAACGCTTCTCACTGTCCCGAAGGCTGGGTGCTCAAGGTGTGGCCAGGCTCTGTGTCTGGTCTCTGGTGAGAACTCTCTTCCTGGCTGCAAAATGTTTGCTTTTTACTGTGTCTGCACAAAGCAAAGAGAAAACAGGTTTCTTGTATCTTCTGGTAAGAATGCTAGTCTGTCTGGCTCAGGCTCCACTGTTAGTGTTTTATTTTAGATTAATTGCCCCTCCCCCAAAAGCTCAGGGTTGAGGTTTCCACGCCTGAATGTAAGTGGAAACATTTAATCCACATGGCTTTTACTCTGTGAAATTGAATACAACGTACATGTTTCCTCCAGTCCCTCAACTTGAATACATCCAGCTCCGAGCTCACGACATTTTACAAAAACATGCCCACTCTGTTGTCTCTGGGGTTCCCTCTTGTTCCAGGAATCCTGCATGAATTCTAACAAGAGAGGCTTCTTGGGGCCTGCAGAGATGAACTCAGTAGTTAAAAATGCTTGCTGCTCTTGCAGAGGACCTGAGTTCAGCTCCCAGAACCCGAATAGGATGGCTCACAACACACACAAATAAAAGGAAAATAAATCTTTTTAAAATGAGTGGGCGTGGCTGGAGACATGGCTCAGCAGTTAAGAGCACTTGCTGCTCCTCCAGAAGACCTGGGTTTGATTCCCAGTAACCACATGGGGCTCATGTGGTCTGAAAGTCTAGTCTCAGATGATCCAATGCCCTCTTCTGGCCTTCTCAGGAACTGCATGAGCATGATGCAAAGCGCCCAGACACATGAAACAAATAAAATGAAATAAATAAATGAGA